CGCGTCGATTATTGTTTCTAATTAAATTGATCTTGGGGTATAAGATTTAGAGGAATATGACCTAGATTTTGATCTTCAAGTGTTAGAGTATAGTATCATGTCCGAAAGATCAGTCAATTCAAAATCTGGATAGTCTTTTCATACTCAAGGTATGCGGTACCCCGAATTTCACCCTGGGTATCATAGAACTCACCATAATTTGATTTTAGAATAAAAATGTCCCACCACTAATTATATATGTTTTCCACCACTATATAACGTCCTTAAAATTACTAACAATCATTGTGAATAAACACCAAATTAACCATTTAACATTTTTTCCTTTTTTAAACTTCCATTCAACAAACAAACACCACATTCACCAAGCTATATGAATTAGATCACCCGTTGATGATCTATCTACAGAGCCTAGGGTAGGGTGGCTGGTGAGCTTTTTCCATTGATAAGTGTGAAGGCAATTTACTGTTGTGATATAGTTGGAGAAGAATGGATACCTTTCCATTTTAAGCTTTCTTTTGTGTGGTAGTAGTAGTGAATAGTGATCACTATTCACTAAATAGCTTCTCTTGCCGGGAGGGCACCACCTTCATGAAACAAAAAAGTGAAAAAACTGCATCATAGAAACCCATTTCACAGCTCAAAAGTCAAAACACAAAGTCGCGTATTCCTTACCCGATTTTGCTATCAAAAGAGCTGGGGCTGCTTTGTATGTCATTTTTTTTTAAGAAAGATTTCATTCATTCAATCCCGAAAGAAGAAGAGTTTACAGCAATGGTGCCCTAATAAGGTCATCACTTTGTGGTGGAAGAGATTGTGATGGAGTGTCCCTTGGCTGGTTTGTAGGGATGATAGAGTTACGACAAGGAGAAGGTTCAGACGCCTCTCAGAAAGCTGTGATTGAGGACATCAATGGGGACAAGTTGCTGCCTCTGAAGATGAAATAGTTCTGTGCTTTCCAAATGTTCCACAGTCAAAAGACCTTGAGACGTAGAGAAAGAAGAGTCTCCGCATCTCTTAATGAGAAGAACCATTGCGTGAAATTCAGAGGAGGGGGTGCATGATGCGAGGATCCTCTCCCAAGTCTCCTTTGCGTGAGGGCAAAGAAAGAGACAGTGGATGGGGGACTCACAATCGGCATTGCAAATTTGGCAACGAGGGTTAGGAGCACAATGTCTGTGGTGCAAATTTGCTTTTGTTGCCAGAGCATTGCGGAGGCACGTCCATAAGAAGAAGCAAATCTTTGGTGGGAGGTTGAGAGACCAAAGCCATTTCCAAGAGTCGTCAGCAGATGAAGCATTAAGATCTTGCATGGGTTGATTTCCAAAATCATTCGTCTACCAGTGGTCTCTGTTTTTTTTTTTTCTTTTCGAAATGGATATGGGCATATGGCTTTTGATTCCACTATCCTACCACGCACTCTTACCAGACAGCTTCATGTGCAAAGCTTTCACCGTTGGGGGAATCTTTCTTTCCTCATGAAAAACGACCTTTTTGTACAAAGTTTCTTTAGCATGAGCCATCTGGAAGCTTCATAGAAATTCCAACACATTTTTGGTCTGCGGGTTGAAAGTTACACCTAAAGGAGAACTCCAAGTCTCCAATTCATGCGTTTAGAAATAAGAAATCTCATGTGAGCAACCGAATTGATTGAGTTCATATAAGTCTCATGTTAGGTTGAACTAGTACTGGAATGTAGCTATGTGTTTTTGATAGCTTGCGATATCACGAATGATTTTTAATTCTTTTTTTTTAAATATATGAATGAGCTTATTACTATATATAAACATGAAGTTGGTTTACTGTTGCATACTTATTTATATTTTAATACCCCAAATTTAATTAAATCATAACTTAGTCATTATAATGTACATTTTACATTTACTATATATAAACCTGAAGTTGGTTTACTGTTGCATAATTATTTATATTTTAATACCCCAAATTTAATTAAATCACAAATTAGTCACTATAATGTACATTTTACATTTAAATACCCCAAATTTACTTATACTATATATAAACATGAAGTTGGTTTACTGTGCATAATTATTTATATTTTAATACTCCAAATTTAATTAAATCACAACTTAATCACTATAATGTACATTTTACTTTTAAATACCCCAAATTTACTTTTAATGTAAAATCATTGAACAATCATGTTCGGTATCTAAATTTTATGAGATTTTCGTACCTAATACCCCAAATTTAATTAAATCACAACTTAGTCACTATAATGTACATTTTACATTTTGAAACCCAAATTTAATTTTAATGTAAAATCATTCAACAATTATGTTTTGGTATCTAAATTTTATGTCATAATTATTTACATTGTGATACCCCAAAATTAATTAAATCACAACTTAGTTACTATAATGTACATTTTTCATTTAGATACCCTAAATTTACTTTTAATGTAAAATCATTGAACAGTTACGCTTTAGTATCTAAATTTTATGAGATTTTTGTACCTAATACTCCAAATTTAATTAAATCACAACTTAGTCACTATAATGTACATTTTATATTTTGATAACCCAAATTTAATTTTAATATAAAATCATTAAAAAATTATGTTATGGTATCTAAATTTTATGATATTTGCGCACCTACAATTTTTTAAATTTACATATTGGTCCAATTTTTATATTTCACTTGAATCCATGAATCCAATCCACCAATTCTTTTGAACCAATCCATGAATCCAATCCACCATAACATAAAATTATAAATTTAGTCTATACAATACAAGATGTTGTACCACTCAACTGTAGGAGAAGATTCGGCCATTTTATATTTGCTCATAACGTGAAATATTAAATAAATGATAAAAGAGAGACGACTCTAAAATATTACAAGAGCGAACTTATAAACTCATTCACTACATTTACGAGGTACTAAAAAAACTTCTACTAGCTACATGTAACAAAATATGAGACATCTAAAAGGGTTGACTGTTGTATTGACGACCAGCTAAAAGAATTGATAAAAACATTCCATCATCTACTTCCTTTTCATTTCATTTTTCACTCGCCTTCCATAACCCATTCTTTATTTCTTTCTTTGCCTTCTTCGTCTAACTCTAATTCGTATACTATTTTTATGTATTCTAATCACAAGTATGAACGGGTTCATGCACGACTCACCAACAGTCTAGAGAATCAATAATTGAATCATGGACCACTAACTTTTTCAGCTCAATGCTAAGTCTAATTAAAAATAAATAAATATGGTTATTATTTATTAGAAAGTCATCATTTTGCACTATGAGATTTGAAAGCGTGAAATTTTAAGCGAGTTCCAGTTTGTATTTCTTTTGATTCTCTGTAGAATTTTTCTTTTTCACCTAGGCTAGAATTTTCGACAATTATACATGGAATGTTTGGTTAGGTATCTACACATATAAAATAAGTAATTTTCATTTTTCTATAAAAAGGTAAATAATTATCATCTTAAATACATCACCATAAAAGGAATTAAGCCTCAACAATGCAAATTACAATTCGGTACCTAAACTTAATAAATATTTAGATTTATAACCTAAATGTATTTTTTGGCATATAAGTCCTCAAAATGTTGATGGAATATTAAATTTTAGAACCTAAAATTTATGTGTATTATATTTTGGTACCTTAACTTTTGAAGTTCTACAGATAGGTCTAATTTTTGTATGTGTAATTAAAGCTGCCTCGAATAAATGGGTATCCATACCCAACTCATACAAATTTAGATTATGAAAGTAAATATACATACACTACCCAAACCCATCTACGAACTTCCAAACCCATATATTACTAACAAAACTGCTAACAAAAAAATAATTTGAGACCAATAATACTAACAAAACACCATAACGGGTCACATAATACATGCATGTAGGCCATCTCTGCTCCGCGACAAAACGCGGCATCACCACCTAGTTATTATTATATATAAAGCTAAATCAACTTTACTGTTCACTAAAATGGCTCTTCAATTTGCCATATGTTATTTGTGGTCTTGGGCTTTTGTACGGTGGGTCATTTCATTTTGTTTTGTTTATTTTTTACGTTTTCTTATAAAGCCAAATCAGTTTTAGTGTTTACTTAAAAATGGACTATTAAATTTGGTTGTGTTACTTGGGGGGTCTTGGACTTGGGTTAATTTATTTACTTTCCATAAATCTCTCTAAATAGAATACGTTTAAATTAGTTTTTCACTATTGTATTTTGTTGACAGGAGCCGAAACTAGATGTCGTCTTAACATCGCACAGTTAAAGAGAGAAGAAAATTTGATCATATTGATCATGAGTCCGATTTTTTTGTTTAGAAAATATTAATTTTGTCCAATAAAGCACTACGATAAAAAAAATTGGTTGTTCGCATTGAAGGCCAACCAAAAATTTGGTCAAAACTTATCCATAAATTATTTTTAATTTTTAATTTTGTTATAAAAATTATATTTTTAGCAAATTTCATACTAAATTACGTATTAACAAAAATAAAACTACTCTACAACAAATAATCACATTACAATTATTACTCAATCCAACTACTCACAAACGAAATCTACATTACTAACCGCAGCAAAGAGCAATAACGAATCTAGTATTCATTAAGAAAGGGTGAAATCCACCCTAACTGGCAACCGGTTTTAAACTCTACATAAGACTATCCCATTCTGAAGGGATGGGATTAGGTACTAACCCTTATAGTGGTTAGCACGTGATAACTAGCAAAAAACACTACTAAAAATAACGAAATCACTACGGATTATTATAAAATCAATACAACATCTAAGCTAAATCACTACTAATTCAAACTAGTAATAGTTTTTCCCTTGGTTAGCACGGTGCTAACTATTGTACAATTAGCACCGTAACCGCTTCCCATTCTGAACAACAAGTGTCAAGATGAAACTAAACATATAAATCACACCTATTACATATAAATCATATTTCTACCAGGAGCCATCAGCTAAGAAATACTATAAGATAATATCATTTATAAAAAAAAACATGATCCTGAGTGCTCTCTCCTCTCTCCTGACGCTTAGCCGCTCCGTCGGCCGGATAATTTGTTCGGTGATGCTGGATATGATAGCTGCGAGTCTGCGTAATCAAGGAGAGGATGCGATCCGGGGGAAGTTCAACTGTGCTGCCAACGACACTGACTACCAAGGAGAGGGTAGGGTCGGCGAAAGATCGGAAGATCTGGATGAAGGGTTGATTGTTCACCCAGGGAGATGGAGGTATTGGCCATACAATCTCAATACCATTCCCCCGCCCTGCAACACGAAAGAGTGATGCTTGGTCTGGGAATCCCAAGCAAAAACGAAGATCCAGGATTTGGATCAACAAAAAGCGGAAGCATGTGTGTTTCCAGGAAATAAAAATGGAGGCTTCGCATGACAATAAACATGCCAAGCTCTCAAAAATTGAAGTGTGGCGTTTCACACTCCCCTCCTCCTCCACCTTTGATGAGGATGATGAAAACGACGGTAGTACGTCGGGGACCGATGTTACTACGTCCCAATCTGCTTCGCCTGACCAAATAGTTCATGGCGACACTTGCTCCTGCATAGATCAAACCGAGATCCAATTTCGGTCGAATACAAGAAGTGGGGGACGAGGATTGCTGCTTGGGCGATTCCGTTATTTCACGGTGCTACCTGTTAGAGTAGTCAAAGAGTAAAAGAAATACCACATTGGTGGGAGAAGGAAAGTGCAAGTTGTTTTTAAGTTTGCTTTCCATTTTAGTTATTGGATAAAGTGGTTACTGGGCTTTTGGAAAAAGTGTGGGCTATTTAATTTGACATATTAAAAAACTTTGCACGTTTGCGTGACGCGTTCGGATTTGAATTTTTGGCTAATTAAATACCGGATTATTTTAATTAATTAACCCGGATAATTATTTGATTTTGACTTTTGTGAAACGACGTAACCCTTCGGAAGGGAACTGCCGTTTTCACTATAAAAAGTCTTCTGCAGCCGAACTTTTCGTCAAACGTTCATCTTCTTCTCCTCGTTTTTCCTTCTCCAAAAACACAAACACAGAAGTCACGAAAAGTGATGCTTTCTGACTTTGATTGGAGGGACTCTTGGGGGTGGTTTGCCTAAATCCTACCAGCAACTAAGTAGTGTGGGCAAATAAACACTCTATGGAGAGTGATCAAAATCACGCCTTCAATCCGTTCCGTTTTTCTCTATACTGTTTCCCTGACACTACCGCGTCGCCGTTCCTCTCCCAGCGGTGAACGACCGGGCGGCAGAGACGGGAGGGTGGCAGAAACAAAACCATTAAGGCACCGATCCTCCCGGGGGGGATCTGTTGTCCCGGATTTGGGGGGATTCTTCCTGTCCAGTACCAGAATTTTAATTTGACTCCTACCCAAAGTAGGAAACCCCCTCAAACACGTAATCCCCATTCCCAAGCCTTATCGGCAGACATAGAGGTGGATGGACATTTAAACACTCATCTCTATTTAAAGCAACCTCCCAACTACTTATTCACAGAAATCGTTTTTGTGAAATAGATTGGATGCCGACTTTAAGGAGTGTATTCCAATCAGGTGTCGTGCGAAAGTCAGGTTTGCACCTCCCCTTCCCTCTTGCGTCTCGTGGCCGACTTTGTAATATTCGAGTGCTGTTTAAGGAGAGCGGATCCCATGACTAGGGGGCCTTAGTCACTTGACTAAGCCCCTCCTAGCCATTAGATCTGGACACTTCAATCCAATGGTTAAAAAGTGGGAAGGGCTATTTAATTAATGACAGGGGTAGTTTGGGTATTATGGAAAATTACGAAGTATACAAACCAGATTTACAATCAGTACAAACCATACAAACATACGAACAGTACAAACTAGAGCGACAAAACATACAAACAGATTTACAAACATTACAAACGTATGAACTGTACAAACAATACAAACTAGACTGACAAACAATACAAACCATACAAAAAAGAAAAAACAACCGGGTTGACTTTGGAGGCTCCATCCCTATATAGAGGGGCTTCTTCCCAAAGTCAACCCGGGTGTTTTTTAGACATACAAACATGGTGGACAAAAATGACAAACTAGACCAAAAATTCATACAAACTAGAAAAACACCTGGGTTGGCTTTGGAGGCTTCATCCCTATATAGAGGGCTCCGTCTCAAAGTCAACCCGGTTGTTTTTTAGACATACAAACATTACGAACATGGTGGACAAAAATGACAAACTAGACCGACAATCCATATGAACTGGAAAAAACACCCGAGTTGACTTTGGAGGCTCCATCCCTATATAGAGGAGTTCCATCCAAAAGTCAACCAGGTTGTTTTTTAGACATAAAAAACATTACAAACATGGTTGACAAAAATGATAAACACGGTACACAAAAATAACAAAGTTTACAAACATTACAAAAAAAACCGACAAACATTACAAAATAACAAAGCGTACAAACATTACAAAAAAAAACGACAAACATTACAAAATAACAAAGCGTACAAACATTACAAAATAAACGACAAACAATACAAAGCATACTAACAGTACAAAATCTCTCTCTCTCTCTCTCTCTCTCTCTCTCTCTCTCTCTCTCTCTCTCTCTCTCTCTCTCTCTCTCTCTCTCTCTCTCTCTCTCTCTCTCTCTCTCTCTCTCTCTCTCTCTCTCTCTCTCTGGCCGCACATATCAATGGATGGGGGATTAAAAATCCCACCCTCTCTCTCTCACCTGGGACATTTCATTTACAGCAACCATTAATAGAAATGGACAGAGGAGACGCCGCCGGTTAGAGGAGTCGCCGGGAAATTTTTCCGGCCGGGGCAACCACGGAAGTCGGAAGGTAGCAACGGACAAATTTATTTTTCTTTGTTTATTATATATATTAATAAATTAAATAATCATGCAATTACTATATTGTCCATTATTAAATTGGATTAATATGGGCCATTGGATTTTAATGAGGTGCAAGGGTGGAGATTGACTTAGTCATGTGACTAAGAGACCCCCCTTAGTCACCTGATCTTAGCCCCTGTTTAAGACCTCATATAATGCTTTTGCTCCGGCTAATTGCCTCCTCAGTGGCCATGATGGCGATCTGGGCAAGTCGGAATCCAAGCTCCCCAGGGTATCTAATGAAAAAACCCGCATTGATTCTTCACAGGTGATTGAAATGGCCGCATTAAGCAAGACCAAGTGGTCCAGTTCTCTTTGGCTGAAGTCAAACCTGCTCGGTTCCGTAGCTCGTGTGCATTGGTGGGAAGGCTTTTCACTTCCAGTCCTGTCACGGAAATTGAGCTAAGAGAATGGTAGAATTTCCCTTGGCAAGGGAAGGGAAAGATAAGGGTGATGGCGGCAAAACACGGATTGTTTGAGTTTGTGCTGCCGAGTGAGGCTTCTCGGAATTGGGTGCTCAAACGGACACCTTGGGTGATCATGGATAAGATCTTACATGTCCGTTCTTGGATTCCTTCTATCAGTAAGAAGATTTTCGATGAGCTGGCCGTTCCCCCCTTTCATGTCCAACTATGGGGGGGTTCCGGATGAATGTTGTACCAAGCAGTTTAGCAGAAAAATGGCGAACGACACAATTGGCCGTGTCCTAGAATCAGGAGTGTTTTCCTGTATGGATACAAACCAATGTTTTGTCAGGGTAAAGGCCATGATTGACTTTTCTCAGCCGTTACGCTCGCAAATCAAGGCCTCCAGTGAGGAAACATGTTGCTTTTGGATCAACTTGAAATACGAACACCTTCCTACGTTCTGCTTTCACTGTGGTCGAGTGGGTCACATGATGACTGACTGTTCATTTGATCCTCCTACCCGAAAGGAAAGATTCGCATGTATGATGATAATGATGATGATATTCCCTCGTACCGCGGAGGAGCAAAATCTGTTTGGGTTAACAAGGATATTCGGGAGACAAAACTAGCTGCAGAGAGACCTAGGTCAGGTCTCGCAATCAAAGAGGACAGTGCGGTGGCTCCTGTGTCCCAACCCGAGGCTCGTTTCCCGCAGATGGGGATGGAGACGATGGGTGCTGAAACTCGGCGACGTGGTAATAGCCCACGTGGCTTCCCCATGAAAAAGTCCCCACGAGTTTCGTTTGGGAAAAGTGGCCGACATTCCACGCCAATGAAGGAGGCTGGTGAGCATTTGCATGATGGGAAAGATCGCGCTCATCACCGGGCGAAGATACACCATGTACGGCGGCGGGAAGGAGCCGACGATGTCCCTGCCGACGGATGAATCATTGATCAGTGAGGCGCAAGCCCGGCCAAGCCCGAGGGAGAGGCAGAGGAGGAATGATGTGAACCCGAGGAGTCAGACAAGGCCGGTGGTGGCGGATCAGTGGGAGCAGCCGCGGGATAGTGACCCGGAGAAGGCTGACCTTATTCACCCCCAGGCAATGACTCACCGGAGATGGATGATCCTCGAAGAGGAATTCGAGGATGATTTCCCAATCCTGCAGCAGTCTTCCCACACCATGCCGAATGTGGTTTCAAGTGAGGGTGATCAAGGTAGTGAGAACCCCACTCCTACTCGAGCTGCGAAGAAGAATGGGAAGGAGCCTTCTCAGAGGGAGGTTCCCAAAACCACCCCGAGGAAACTAAGAAAGGCAAAGCCTTCGGAAGAAAAGAAAGGGCTTAAAAGGGAAATTCAGGGCTGCCACGAGCTCCAAGTCATCGATGGTGAACCCTGTGCACAAGAATATAGTGCCACCAGGGGAGAATGAAGAGACATTGATTGATGTCCCGGTACTTGCTTACTCTTCACCTAAGCAGGGCGGCCACTCTCCTTTGAACCCTTTGGGGAACGACCCTAAGCTGAACATGGCTACCTCTGATGTGTCTTCTCCTGACGAAGAGCACCAAGATTTTGAAATTAGGTGTCATTCCCAAGGGAAGAAGCAGAATACAGTGTCACGTAATGCTCAGGGTCATGTAGGCCAGGTGGTGGCGGCCATTGAGGCTTGCATGACTCTCAATGCTGGTCGTGACGAGATGGGGGCAAAGTTGTCCATGGGACATAGGCCGGTGAAAGATGCTGAATCGACCTTAATCTCGGAGAGGGAAATGATCTCCAAGATGAATGACTATGGTCAAACATCCTCGATATCGGAGCAGGTGGGAGCAAAAGAACTTTTGAAGAAATGGGGGGAGATATGGAGGACTCTCCCAACCCAAAGAAACAGTTTGTTGAAGAATTTTCAAGTGAAGATAAGGTGGAGGAAGCCAGCCTGGAGCGGCCCCCAACGGTCAAATGAGGCTACTTGCCTGGAATATGAGAGGAATTGGACCATCCCTCACATTTCAAACTGATGTAGGTTTAATTTATTCCAATAAACTGGACCTTGTTTTCTTTTCAGAAACAAGATCGAACCGGAGAGTAGTGTCCCGTAGGATGAGGGGCTTAGGGTTTAATTTGAATCATTGTTTTTTTGTTGATGCCATCGATACTGCTGGTGGTTTAGTTGTATCTTGGTCCCCCGAGGTTGATGCCTCGGTGTTTTATCATTCTTATTTTTCCATTTGTATTTAGATTAATGAAAATTCTTTTTCGTATGTGGTGATTTGTGTTTGTTTGAGTTGCCATGAAGGCCGACGGGCTACCCAATTGAATGTGCTTCGACAGTTGTGCACTGAGATTCACCTGCCTTTTGTACTCTTAGGCGATTTCAATGTGACCTTGAGTGAGGCTGAAAAAGATAGTGGCAATCCTGGGTGGCGGCCCCATCCGTTTCGCTCTGGAACTTTATTCATGATCTAGGTCTTCTGGATCTGGGTTGCCAGGGTGACCAATTCACCTGGACAACACAAACAGATGGGGACGGCTTGCATTCGAGAACGGTTGGATGGGGCTCTTTGCTCCCCAGCCTGGATCGATTCCTTCCCTGAAACCCTTCTCAAGCATTTTACGGATCAGGGTTCTAACCATCGAGCAATCATACTCTCAGATAAACCTTATGTTAGACAAAGTGGGCCTCTTTTCCGCTTTGATGCCCGTTGGGCTGCTAATCCCGAAGTTCGGGCTATGGTGACCTATGCATGGTCTGAAGAGGTTCATGGTTCCCCTATGTTTATTTTGTGGGAGAAACTGAAGAAGCTCCGGCATTTGCTTTATGATTGGAGTTGAGTTGGGACAACGAACTCTCTTAGGAATATTAAGACTCTCCAAGCCGAAATAGATCGGGTTAAACTCGTTTACCCAATTGACTGGGATAAAGTCAAAGAGTTGGAACTTGAATTGAACAGGCAATGGGAAGCTGAGGAGGCTTACTGGCAACAGAAATCCGGAGTTTGATGGTTTAAAAAGGGTGATCAGAATTCCTCTTACTTCCACACGGTGACCCGGGCTCGTCGGAAACATAATTTTGTTGAAGGTCTCCATAATGCGGAGGGAGAATGGATTACGGAGGAGAAAGAGAAAGCGGACATTGCAACTGGTTTTTACCAGCACTTGTTTACCTCTGAATCCCACGTACATAATATGGATGCCCGAATTGCAGATCTCCCGATTGATTGCACGATCACTATGGAAATGAATGATTCCCTCACTGCGGAAGTACTTCCGGAGGAAGTTCGTCGAACAGTGTTCTCCATGGGATCTAAGCAAGCGTCTGGGTCGGATGGTTTTACTGGGAAATTTTTTAAAGCTTTCTGGGATGTAGTGGGGGAGTCGGTGATTGTTGCGGTTCGCCATTTCTTTAGTACAAGCAGAATACTTCGCAGTTTCAATCATACGTGGCTCACACTCATTCCCAAAGTGGATAATGCGTAAAATATGATACAGCTCCGTCCCATTAGCCTCTGTCAATTTGTTTATAAGATCATTACCAAAAATTATGGCAGAACGGTTGGCCCAAGTATTACCTCTAATTGTCTCTGATGGACAAAATGCTTTTATCCGGGAAAGGCACATTGTGGATAATATTCTCGTCGGCCATGAGTTAATGCACTATTTGAAACTCAAAACGCGGGGCAAGAAAGGGTACATGGCTCTAAAGGTTGACATGGAAAAGGCCTATGACAGAGTCGAATGGCCCTTTCTCCTGGCGACTTTGAAAAAATTAGGCTTCAACTCAACATGGTGTGGATGGGTTCATGAATGCCTCCAATCAACTTCCTTCTCAGTTCTTATGAATGAGACCCCCTCTGGTTTCTTTGCCCCATCCCATGGGCTCCGACATGGGGACCCTCTATCCCCTTTGCTGTTTGTGCTCTGTACGGAAGGGTTTGCGGCTCTTCTACGTCAGACCATTGCTTTGGGGAGGCTGGAAGGGGTGAAAGGGGCTCCCAGGGCGCCCAGGATTTCGCATTTATTCTTTGCGGATGACTCTTACTTGTTTCTTCGAGGCTCACTTCAGGAATGTGAGAATTTGATCAAGGTTCTTAACACCTATGAGGGACTCAGTGGCTAATGGGTTAACCTGGAAAAATCAGCGGTTTGTTTTAGCAAGAATATCTCTCTGCCTAATCAGGAGTTCCTGGCGGATATTCTGGGGGTGGAGCGGTACGGGGTCCAGGACAACGACCTTGTAGTGGGCTACCAACTTTGATTACGCGATCGAAAATTGCCACGTTCCGGTTTTTGGAAGAGAAACTGCTTAGCCGACTTCAAGGATGGAAGCAACGACCTTGTCGTGGGCGGCGAAGGAGACTTTGATTAAATCCGTCGCTCTAGCCTTACCCCTTCATGTGATGTCCTGATTTAAATTGCCCATGTCCCTCTGCCGGCTCATTGATAAGCATGTGGCTTGATTTTGGTGGGGGGTGGAAGGGGATCGCTCCCGAATTAGGTGGGTATCCAGGCGTAAAATGTGTACTAGCAAGCATGATGGTGGTATGGGATTCCGCAGGTTTGAGCACTTCAACCAGGCTCTGTTGGCCAAAATTGGGTGGCAAATTTTGTCGGAGCCTCAGTCTTTGCTAGCTCAAGTCTATAAAGGGAAATACTTCCCACATGGGAGTTTCCTCACGGCTATAGCCAGGTCTAGACCTTCTTGGGGGTAGCAAAGCATCCTTTTCGGCCGTCAATTGCTCACCCAAGGATTGAGGTGGCAAATTGGGAATGGTAGGACTGCTTCTCTCATCTCAGATAGTTGGTTGCTGCTTTTCCACCCTTCTGCCGCGACATTTATCCCGCGGATCCTTCCGACTGGGGGAGATCTTCAGGTGGCCGCTGTGATTTTTCAAGGCGAGGGTAAGTGGAATGAGGAGAAGCTCAATAGCTGGTTTGACCCGGAAACTTGTAGGGCTATTAAGGCTATTCCTCTTCCCCGTGCGGATATAGATGACAAGTTAATTTGGCATGAGACAACATATGGGTGTTTCACCGTCAAATCAGCCTATCATTTGGCAGTCTTGTATGATAAAAGAGGTGGCCGGTGGAGGTCTAATGCTTGTTGGATGGACAATCCAAGTTGGATTCGCTTGTGGAATGCCAATATTCAACCTAAACTCAAGGTGTTTATGTGTCAAATTTTCCTTCGAATACTCCCTACGACTGAAGCCTTGATTGAGAAAGATGTTGAGGTGTTGCCTTGGTGTCCGGTATGCTGGGCGGAAAGGGAAACGATGGAGCATTTATTCCTCGAGTGCCCAGTAGGTCGGGCCTTTGGGATCTTTCTGGCCTGGAATATATGGGTCAAGGTCTGCCTCGTCAGCACTTCCCTCTTTTCCTTAAGAAAGTGTTGTCCTTGATAGATCAACCCTAGTTGTTCACGGCAGTCGTGGGGATCTTGTGGAGGATTTGACGGTCACGTAACTGGGTTGTCTTTGAGGGAAAGCATTTTGGAATCCAGGCGTTGATGCGGCAGTTTCAACAGCAGTACCAGGAATGGGTCTCACTTCCGGTGGTCGAAGTTTCAATAACCCCGTTCCTCCTAGACTAGGTGGGCCTGTTAGCACGCCGCAATCTGTCATTTGTATGTGGGATGGGGCGACGAGTGCTGGGTCTCATTAGGCTAGGGGATGGTGCTAAAGGACCCCACTGGAAACGTCCTCTCGGCCTGTGGTCTGCAATTCCCTGATACTGATGATCCGATTGTGGCAGAACTGTTGATCCTTCGGGAGGCAGTAGGTTGGTGTCTGGATTTAGGATTTCTTTCGACTTGTTTCCAGGGGGACACCAAGGTGTTAATTGATAAAATCAATGGGCGGGATGCGCGAGATAATCGGGTTGGACCGGTGCTAGAAGAGATCATTAGGGTGTTCTCGTTTTATACTGAGCTTAGTGTTCGATTTGTAGGTCGGAATAGCAATAGGATAGCCCATTTGGTGGCTCGAAAGGCCCTCAGTTTGTCTCCGACTGCATGTCGTTTCTTTGATTTCCAGGCCTGGCTGATATCCAAGTTGTAAATATCGTTTGATCTTCGTAATATATATTATCTTTTGTAAAAAAAATACTATGCTTTTTTTAAAGGATAATACAACATGAAATAGGTCGAAAAAGCTTCGTAGAATTATAATTTAACACCTTAGAAATGAATGCAAGGTAAGTGGATTTACCTCTGAGAGCATATACCCTGAGTTAAAAAGCTTCTGAATATCCAGAACCATCTCTGGCACTACAATCTCCCAATACTAGTAAAATGCCGCTGTAAATCCATATGGACCAGGTGATTTGTCACTCTGCATTGTGAAAATTGCATCTTTCACTTCTTCACTTGTGACTAGGGTGGAAATCGTTATGGTATTGGTATCGTAATACTAAATAGCGAATACCAAATAGTGCCCTAAAATCAATCTCAATTCCAAAATTAATTGGTATCCCAATCCCTAAAATTTTGTTCGATTCGATATAAACCGCATACCAAATTAGTTTCTTTCAAAATTACAAATCAAATATGAAAGCGCAAATACTAGCTCCACAAATCATCTCAAAAATATACAAACAAACAATGGTGTGGTGTCTATACTCATAACAAAACAAAGAGGAAATAAATCTAAAGTATAATAACAACACACTAGAAAATGTGGTGTCTAAGAAGCACATGAGCAAACTAAAGCAACAAACTGAAACATGACTAAGCAACCCATAAGCATACTAAAAAATCTTGGTATGAGTTGTCAAATAGTGAGGGAATGAGTTATGTATAATTAAATGACACTCTTGGTGGTTGAGGATCTTGTAGTAGTGAATGAGAAAGTCTAATTGAGAGGGATAAAGTACACAATAGCCTATATTTCGAAATTGTTCAGCATTTCGGTATATACCAATCACAATCCCGCAATCCTTAATACCAAATAACATTTGAAATTAATCCCAATTCTAAGAAATAATACATGTATTCGGTAACACAAAATATAGACAAATTTGGTACGGTATTTGGTATATCCCAAATACCAGTACCAAACTTCTCGCCCTACTTGTGACAGAAAAACCTGTGTGCTCGGGGGAAGCTTGTGGTGAAGTAGTTTGGACATAAGCTCATTACTCATTAGTAACTAGTTGCACCTAAGAGTTTACTGATCTTAGGAGTTCGTCATAGAACTTAACAGCTTTCTCACACATTTCCTTCACATCAGTTAGTTCAACCGCTTTAGTAGTCACTAGCTTCTTGATAGTAGCTCTAACTTGTCTAGTTTTCACTGAATACTATGAAAAAATTCTGTTTTGATCACCATTTTGACTCAAAGCTGTAGACTTCTGCCTATAAAAAGACTCTTAAGCCTTCAACAACAGCTCATTGAGCGTAAATGTCAAGTTTGGTCACTAGCTTTACTAAAGCGTGTCATGTTTAGTCACTGAAAAAATTAATATTAATTTTGGTCACTCAAATTTGTATAACGGTCCACCTTTAGTCACTCTCTGTTAACTTTATCTGATGTGACCGTCAACCTTAACAGTTGACCTTTAAATGTCCGACGTGGCAATTAAATGATTAATAAAAAATAAATTTAATTATTTTAATATTTCCACATCATTAAAATAATAAACTAAAATAATTGAATGTCCGTCATCACCGATACCTTCATGGTCGACCCGAATCGATTTCTCATTTGTCACCATGTTCTTCACCTTCAACCCAGTAAGCGAATCATTTAGTCTCTATACCTTTTTCCGACATTCCATGGATGACATCATGAATATTAGAAACAGAGAAGGGAAAGAAGCGACCTTTTCTGGCAGGTGGCAAGTGAAGATCTTCATCCAGCCATACCAGCAACCCCCTTTACTGTCCGCCATTAACGAATCGAATGGGAACCTGATCGACTTTCACATCGGGTGATTATCAACTAATCAAAAGCGACCCATTTGGAATAAGAAAGAATCCATCTTTCGGCATTTGAGAAACAGAGGGTAGCTCAAAAACTCAAAACATGATATGAGCTCGATTAACAGAGTGTGATTTCGTGCTGTTGAGAACTGAGACTTAATGGATTTTCAGTGAAGATAGTTAATCAATTGAAGACGGAGACCAGGGAGAAGGCTACTAAGAGAAATGGGTAGGAGAGTGGTAATCGAATTACTTGAAAATGCAACAGCTACAGAGTGAATTGTGTTAGAGTGTGGTATAAGATCCAGCAGAACCTTCTCCCAACAACTCGAGTTATTGGGAGCAACTGGTTCTCGACATGGTATCAGAGCTTCGAACCAAAAGGTCATGTGTTCGAATCTCCACGACCCCCAATATTAACCGTTGTCTTTCAAGCACATGGTATGGTGGACCTGTGCAAACTTCAAGCCCATGGGTTGGCTTTCGTTTGAGGGGGCGTGTTAAAGTGTGGTATAAGATCCAGCAGAACCTTCTCCCAACAACTCGAGTTATTGGGAGCAACTGGTTCTCGACAGGTGGCAGAGTAGGGCACTTTGTTGCTCCTTGTTTTAGGGGGAATTTTCTGTTTGGATTTGGTTTTCATTTCATTAGGATGGAAACGTGAAAGAGAAAGGGGATGCAGGGGGTCGCAACTGGTATCAGCGACGACGGTCCATGAGCTCTCCGCCCATGATTCCTACGAGGAATCCAAGGACTGTTGGTGGTGGAGATTTTCCTGTGCATAGGTCGGATGGGGAAGGGATTTTTTTGGTTTTATTTATTTTATTATTTTAATGATGTGAAAATATTAAAAGAATTAAATTAATTTATTATTAATTTTTTAATTTCCGCTTAAGAAATTTAACGGTCAGCTGTTAGGGTTGATTGCCACACAAAATAGAGTTATCGGAGAGTGACTAAACATGGACCATTTTACTAATTCGAGTGACCAAAATTGATAATAATTTTTTTAATGACTAAACATGGCATATTTAAATAAATCTAGTGACCAAACTTAGCATTTAACCAGCTCAGATTGAACCTTCCAGAGAGCTAAGAAGGTTTCATTCACCGGCTGATTTCATTTGCAAATCTTCTAGTATTTTCTTTGGTGATTTTACTTAGATGAGAAATCTATGCATAAAACTCTCTGTTAAGCTTTTTCAATTGGTTCTTTACTTCCTTAAGCTTTTGACAAACCACAAACATAGCATAACCGGGTACATCTTTGTCCTAAACATTTTTTATAATTTCCTTGTACTAGAGTCATCAAATGAAATGTGTGAAACAATTTTATAATAATATGGATACTTAACCCGTTAAAAAGCACGAAACAAAATTAGAGAAGTTTCCGTAACAATAAAATACTAACCCCCCACAATTATTATTGCCTTGATTGGCAAGCAAATAAATTCATTCCTTATATTTTTTCAGAAGTTTCTTTGTTTTCTCATGGACGTTTTAAAAAAATCCCAAATCCCTTTCTGTCATTCCGTTCATCGCAAAATCCAAATTCTGACTAAAAATTTTAAAACGTCGAAAATAAATTTAAATAGATTTTTGGTGTAACACCAACTCCTCACGGCCAGGCCGGCCCCGGCCCACCAGGAACCAGGCCTTTATCTCCGGTCCACCGGGTACCAGCAATTCCCCGGTTCCCCCGTCACCGTCACCACCTGAAACCGAATCCCCGAAGAAAATGAACTGCTTCGCACGTGCCCCACTCCCGACAGCGATTTCACAGAAAATTCGTGCGGTCCGCCGAGCGCCGCCGTACCCCTCCGCCACCGAAACCGTTCTCCTCCTTCCTCCGCCGCTCCACTTCTCAATAAATACAAAATAATAAATAAATAATAAGAAAGGGAAGCCCTCTCTCTCCTCTCTCTTTCCCTTTCCAGCAGCGCGCCGTGCCGTTATTTCCCCCTTCTCTTTCTCTATTCCTGTTCCTTTTTCTCGGCACTTTCTCAGAGCACAACAATCACTCCCTTTGGAGAAAAGGGGTGGAAAATATAGGAAAAACCAAGGCCACTGAACAGTGAGGAGGACGAAAGGTAAATTTCACGGACAGACGCGGCTTGTTCTTGTTGTTGGTTTGCTGCGCTGTTTTGGCAGCCGCCATGGGGGCTCTGGCTCCTCTCGCCGCTCCTTGGATACCAGAGGACGATCTTCTCTTGAAGAATGCCGTCGAGGTGATTTCCTTCTTCCTTCTTTTACTTCTCGAGCAAGTTTTTTCTTGTTGTTGCTCGTTTGTGTTTGTACCTTTTGATTGAGAGGTCTTTTAGTTCAGAACCAGTGCCATGGGGTTTAATTTCATCTGTTTTCTGGAGGAGTTTTGAGCTCATTGCTGAAAAATGGTTGTGCCTAGGTAGACTGGGTTTGAATTTAGAGGGAACAGCTTTTTTGTTATGCTGCATGCCTGTTTTCAAATGGCATTCAGAAGAGTGGCTTGAAATATCACTCTGTTTGTTGAATCAGGGTTTTAGGTTTTTACAGGTTAGGTTAGGTTAGGTTAGGTTTGAATGAGGTAGCTGTAGCAGCATTTGTGTCTCAGGTTTCAGGGCAAGGGAAGAAGCTGTTGGATGGGAAGGAAGGCGAGAAAAGCGGAAAAGGCTGGCGTTGTGGGCTTTTCACTTGTGTTGTACTGGTGTAGATAGAAGATTCTCATATAGAGGCATCAATGTCTGGCATTACAGGGTTTGATGCAGTTGAACAGCTTAGAACATCTCGAAAGTTCTACTATCCTAGCTGGTGGTTTTACATGGAATGGAAGGATTGCTAGCGACAACCCTGAAAGGTGTATACACTTCCGCACGTACTGATAATGTACAGCTTGTACTTTGGCAACGAAGCAATACATCCTTCCAGGCAATGGACAAAGTATCCTATCTCAGCCTAGTAGATGAACCCTTTGAGTACCTGTCTATATCAACAGAATGTTTAAATCTAGTTAATAAGCTCCAAGTTCTCTGCCACATTTCGACTGTAGGTATCTTTGTGTTTTGTTGTCCCTGACTTGTTTGTCAACCATATTGTTTTCCCATTTGACTGTTCTGCTGAGTGCTGATGGGCGGATGGATATATCCCTTTTGTTCTTGGTACATATAAATGATCGCAAAGAATCATGTTTGTTTCTTCTTGTGTTGGTTTCTAGATAATTTGGATTTTCTTTCAAGGAATCCAGTTGATTAGTTTCTTTCCTCTGATGTTTATAGGCAGGTGCTTCCTTGGAGTCGCTTGCTAAAGGTGCTGTGCAGTTCTCCAGAAAGTTCACCATTCGTGAACTGCAAGACCGCTGGCATTCTCTCCTATATGATCCAATCGTGTCTGAAGAAGCTGCTTTAAGGATGATTGAGTTTGAGTACACCTCGTCAGCTCTTCCATCAAAATTTACCAGGTGTGGGAATTCAAAGGATAACAAATGTATTACTGGAAAAAGGAAAGCTGAAAGTGTCCGTTCTAGTTACTATGCTTTGCGTAAAAGAATCCGTAATGAGCCATTTGGATCCATTGATTTGGATTTTCTTATGGGGCCCAGCGATAACAATTATGTTGGAAGTGAAGATGTCCCTTTATCTGGACATTGCATCATAGGAGATCCAGTTCAAGGTCTTGAACTTCAGGGTTCCAACATGAATATCATGCGCCATACTTCAACTGAGATTGAGGTTGGTAATGGTGATCCAGTCTTTCATTCACAGTTCGAGAATACAGCTCAAGGAGATTTTCTAATGCAGCAAGATAATCTGCCTAATGAGATGGCAAGTATGATGGGGGAGAATTTGTCTCACCCTGGCAATGGGATGGTAGTAGATGAATTTTGCTTGCGGGATAGATTACCCTTGCATGGTAATCAGGTACAAGGATGCCCAAATTATGATGGAGACCAAGGGTTTAGTTCAGAGGCTATCGAATGTGGGTCACCATTTCAAAATTTGGAGTACTCGTGTTCCCTTCCTGAAATCCCGCATTGGACATCTGGTGAAGGCATGGCGTCGATGCCTGTTGAACCTACTGACTGTGGTTTGAGAGGGAAAGAGCTTCGTGCTGGGGATGGGTTTTCTCTTCACATCGATGCTGCTGCTGCTAAAGACTCGGATCAATCAGGATATGATGGTATGGTGAACATGGGTTCTGATTTGAGGCTAGAGATACCAAGTGATGAGGAGCTAAAAGATACTACTATTGGAACAGAGGGTTATCTGGCTGAACTATCACACTCTCTATTGAACCTTACAAATGATGATGAACTTCTGTTCATGGACGTCGATGGGAAAGATGATATCATTGATAAGTCTTACTATGACGGCCTTAGTTCCCTGTTGTTGAGTTCACCCAGTCATGACGCCAATCAAGATCATCTGGCTCTGACTGTTGATCATCCTGAAAATCAGTTGAAGACAAGTCCTGCGCAAGTGTCCGATGAAGATATCAGAATGCACCATGGAAGAGATTCTGTTTGCATTGGTGAAGTCCAGTGCCTTGATACCCCATCAACTTCATACCCTGACTTTTCTGAACTCGATTGTGAAGTTGTTTGCTGTGTGTTGAGCACAGAAGATCCCGAGGTCCCATGCAATGACCATGTCGTCTTTACCAACAACCACTCGCGTCGTAAGGCAGCTGCTACTGTATCAAAACGAACTGTACAAACTCCTGGGAAATTGAATTCATCCTCTAAAGTGATGACCAACAATCAACAAAAAAGTAGCAAAGGGGGGAAACCATTGTTGCAGATGGATTTGGGAAATCCTGGAAAACCACCCAAGTCTTCTCAGAAAACACTGTCACAACAAGTGACACCAGAGGTCAGTGTTCATCGTTCAGTTGCTCATCCTGGAGTTAGGGTTGAGTTTGCTAGGAATGATTACACTGAAAGGGCTTCCAGCAGTGTCGTTGCTGATGGTGATTCAACAACTCAAGTCAAGTCAACAAATGATAGAAATACTGCAATTCACATGCCTGCTAAGATGAAGGAAGAAACTTCAGGGACTGCCATGGCAAGGCATACAAGTCTCAGTAACACTGGCTTGTTAATGGAAAGGCCAGCAGCTCCCGTTGGAAATGGCTATAATAAGTGCCATCGCACAACAAATGTTGGTAGTGTTAAACAGGAAATACATGCTTCATCATCAGGTTTTCCAATTCAGCAAGGCTCAGTTGCTGCTGTTGAGCCTGTCAATAGTTCTGTCTCGGAACAAGGAGCAAAGAGTACGTCGGATCAAGAAGACCTTTACCTGGAAAGTGAAGATGATCTCCCATACTTTTCAGATATTGAAACAATGGTATGACAGTGGCCTATATCTTTTCTTGATTATTTTGTTTATCATTGAATGTCTCTTGATTTTAGTATTGTTTTCCATTTTTAACTCTTTTTTTTTTTTCCTCTCTTTCTGAAATTAGATACTTGATATGGACTTAGATCCAGAAGAGCAGGACTTATTCTCCAACGAGCAAGGTAGTAAACATATAAGTTTCAGGCAATTCATCACTTTTCAGTCTTGTTCCTCATTCACTTACTGCTACTAAATTGATGTTGGAACATCCAGTGGGGGCCTTTTTCCCAATCAGTAACCATTCCTAACATGATGCTTACATCTAATTAATTCCTGCAGTGTTGAGATACCTGCAACAGGAAACACAGGCTGCAATCATGAGGATGGAGCAGAGCGCACATTCATACATGCAAAGAGCCATTGCTTCACATGGAGCTTTTGCTGTTCTATATGGTCGTTATTCAAAGCATTATATCAAGAAGTCCGAGGTACAAGGACTTCAACAAACATTTCCTAAACAGATGCTTTGAGTATGGTTTCCTTCTAAGCTTCCCCAATTGTGCAGGTTTTGCTTGGTCGAGGGACAGAAGACACTACCGTCGACATTGACTTGAGTAGAGAAGGACGTGCAAACAAAATATCACGAAGACAGGTTTGTTAACGTGATCAGATTCAAAGAGTAATGAGATATTGAGATCTCCACTATTTGGTTCCCTTGAACCCATAACAAACTATGCTAAATGCTTACAGGCGATCATTAGTCTGGACCAAAGTGGATTTTTCCACCTGAAGAACGTAGGCAAATTTTCCATCTCAGTCAATGACAAGGAAATAACCCATGGCCAGAGTCTAAACCTTACTCCCAGTTGTCTCATCGAGGTTTGTTCCCCTACGAATTCTTTGTTCAATTGCACCATCGACCAGATACCTTAAATCTTCCGTCGATTTGCAGATAAGGGGGAAGCCATTTGTGTTCGAGGTAAACCAAAGCTGCGTGAAGAGGCATCTTGAACGCTCATCGACCCAAGAGCTGCTGCAATCCTGAAGTGAAGCACATAGGAAATCTCCCTGACTGATTATCAGAAGGTGCTCATATATTTTTTTACACCAGCTGCACTTTCTGGGTTTTCCTTCTCCTCCCCTTCTTATGCCTCTGTAAATTTCTTCTCATGTGAATGAATCCCTTCCCAACAAGGATAGTCTAGAAAAATTAAATGTCTAATCCCATAGTAGTTAGCCCTCCGACAACGTGCTTATGAAATCTATGCAATGGGACCCCAGTTCTCATTTATGGCGTGCCCTTTACTTGTGCCCTTCATAATTATCTGGTCTACCCCAGGATATTAAGGCAAGCAAAATGTCCTGTCGTATGGTCAATTTACAGAAATGGCCATGCAACTTTGCTCACTGAAAAATTGGTCACTCCGATTTTGATTTTTAACGAACTTGCTATTGAAGTTCGAATGTAGCAGTAACTCGTCATTCCCTATCACGTTCTTCGTCCAAGTTTTCCAAATCAAATTAGGTATCGGGTAGGGCGGAGTGAATTGGGCCTCGTCGGGTAGCATGAGGATCAGGTAAGGTTTAAAATGGCAGTTCATTTGAGCTAATTAGGAGCCATATGATCTATATGTTACTAGTATATGAATGTGGCTTGAATGATGTACTAGTCTGGCGAAATATGGACACAGATAACTTGACAGAGGCAGACAAAGTCATTTTTGTGTACTTGTATTAATACGTGATGGATTTGTCAGTAACACAAAAGTTCAGTGGCTGATTCTCTAGTAACGCAGAAGTTTAGTGACTGTCTATGTAGTTGACCCCTTTTTTACCATATAGTTGTTCAGATCTACTTCCCGCTTATTAAATTTTGCATGCAGAGATGCTTCCGTTTCTTCAGACCAGATCGTGTCATCCACATTTAAGTTTGACAAGTGACTCACCAAAGTACACAGATTATCTTATTGCCAACTCGAAGGTCTGCTTACCCCTTCAAAATCTTACTTAATAGTCAATAGATACTCATTTTTACATCTTCAGAAACCTTCCCCTGCCCCAAAACAATGCCAAACCAGAAGATTCTCCCTCTGCTATCTCTCTTCTTCATTGCTACAATCTCTCAACTCTTCCCCGAAGCCAATTCCAGAACTTACTCAGCTGACATTGAAGCTCTGAAGAATCTGAAAAATGGGCTGGACCCCAAATCCATAGCTCGAGGATCTTGCCTGAGCTCATGGGACTTCGCCGTCGACCCTTGCGACCGCCTCTTCACCGACAAGTTCACCTGCGGCCTCCGTTGCGACAGGGCGGTGCACGATCTGTTCCGGGTCACCGAGATCGCCCTCGACTCTGTTGGTTACTCTGGCTCGCTGTCTTCCACCAATTGGACCAGCTTGCCTTACTTGCAGGCCCTTGATCTCTCCGACAACTCGTTTTCCGGTTCCTTGCCCGATTCGCTCTCCCATCTAGTCCAGCTCCGGCGGCTTGGTCTCTCCCGGAACTTCCTATCCGGGGAAATCCCGCCTACTCTGTCCACCCTTCCTCGCCTCGAGGAGCTCTACCTCGACGGCAACATGTTCTCGGGTGGTGTTCCTGCGAGCTTCAGCTCGCTGACGACCCTGAAGCGGGTCGAAATCCAAAGGAACAATCTCTCTGGCGTGTTTCCTGATCTGGGTTCGATGCACAGTCTCGATTACCTCGACGCCAGCGACAACAAATTCTCCGGCGAATTCGGCGATTCTGCATTCCCTCCCTCCCTCGTCGAGATCTCAATGCGGAACAATAGCATTTCGGGCCACCTGCCGAAGACCATCGCCGATTTGAAGTTCTTACAAGTGCTGGATCTGAGCATGAACCGGTTATCCGGTCCGATCATCTCCGTCCTCTTCGAGCACCGTTCTCTCCAGCAATTGACTCTCTCCCACAACGATTTCACCTCCCTTGAAGTTCCGGCGACAATGGGGTTCAACAGCGAGCTCATCGCTATCGACCTGAGCGACAACGCCCTCCGGGGGCTTCTGCCGGCGTTCCTCTGTTCGATGCCGAAGCTTTCAGCTCTGTCCCTGGAGAACAATAGGTTCACCGGGATGATTCCCGCCGCGTATGGCGTTAAGGCTGCGGCCGCGGGGACGGAGGGTGAGTCGACGGCGTTTGAGAGGCTGTTGCTGGCCGGGAATTATCTGGTGGGGAAGATACCGGCGGCGATGATGGGGATGAAACCAGGGTCGGGTAATGTGAGCCTGGTGGAGAATTGCTTGTATAGGTGTCCTGATGATCTCTTCTTTTGCCGCGGTGGGGATCAGAAGTCGGTGGTGGAGTGTAAGAGATTTTGGCCGGTGAGGATGATTCCATGATCGTAGAAAGATTATATATTAGTAGTATAAGCAGAATTATTTAGAGCTTTTTGTCATTTTGGGTTGGACGATTGAAAGAACTATGGGCTATCTACTTTCTCTTATCAATTATAACGGACGTGTTTACAGCAAAATGTGCTCCAAACCAGATTACGTAGGACCAAATTAACGTTTGGACTTAACTATATCAAAACGAAAATAATGTGATCCAATTTTTGGTCTCTATGATTTTATAAAATACGGAAGAAAAGTTGACCGAATTGTCATTTGGATTGGGCAGAATACAATATTATGATAGTCCTAGAATTTCTTTTACTATTTATCCGCACTTCTCACAAGTTTAGTTACGATAGAACTGGATTGTTGTATAACCCTAATTTGCGAGGAATTTTTTTTTTTTTCATTAGTGATATATTTGTTTTATCCTATTCAAGAAAACTTGAACATGTAATCCATATTTATCTTTTCGGGGATTTTTCCCCATAATACACACGTTTTGTGAAAATTTCTCAATCTACACATGTTTGGGCATCACTACGGCAGAGGAAAAACGGTGAATGCATCACCATGGCAGAGAAAAGCGGTGAAGGCCTGACCTAACGCTGAAACTTAATACGAACGTAACTTTGCGCTCGGTTATCTGATCGTAGCGAAATGTTTTTTGATTATGCATAATTTTTTGAGTTCTTGCAAGCCAAAGGCGGTTTAGTCCCGCCTTCATCCCAGGAAAACGTGTTACCTCGAACGAGCAATTTTTTTATTTCTCCAAACTTTGGAAGACCATAACTTTGTGCTCCGCAATCCGAACGTTATGAATTTTTCTTTTATTGCACATAACTTTTACTAGAGGGAATTTTCAAAACAAGAAATATTTTTGGATAGACGGGGTTTTGGGAATAACTTTGCCCTTTCTTTTCACAAATCCACATACATTCCGAAAGTGACTATGATAAAAGTTGTAGTCCTTAAAATGTTATGCGGAAAAATTTTCATGACATTCGGATTGCGGAGCACAAAGTTATGGCCTTCCAAAGTTTGGAAAAGTCTAAAAATTGCTTGTTCGGGGTAGCAAACGACGTTTTTTCTGGATGATAGCGTGGCAAAAGTGCCTTTAGCTTATAAAATCTCGAAAAATTATGCGCAATAATTTTTTTTTCTTCTTTTGCTACGATCGGATAACCGAGCGCAGAGTTATGTTCGTTTGAAGTTTCAGTCTTAGGTTAGGCCTTCACCATATTTCTCGACCGCGGTGATACATTCACCGCAATCGACAGGCACGGTGATGTCCAATCATGTGTAGATTGGGAATTTTTCATAAAACAGGTGTATTTTGAATTTTTTTTATAAAACGTGTGTATTGTGGGAAAAAAAAAATCCTCTTTTCAGATTGGGTCATAAGATCTTTGTTGTCAGATTCCGTAGGCCGTGAAGCCAAAGCCCAATCTGCATTATATATGGCCCCTGATTCAAACTGACGTTAGCCATCGTAGGTCTTAGTTTACCCGTTGGGCCATTATTTGGAGCATAAGCCGCATCTTCACTTGAAACTGGGCCGGCCTACTTCTTTGATTCATTAGTAAGTGATGATAGCACAAGTATCCTTGTTTTCTTCCCCCAGCCTAGAGATAACTAGATAAACTTATGGGTCGTTTGGATTGAGCATTTGAGGTGTTATTTGGGGTCAATAACCGAAAATCTGTTATTTGACCCCAAATAACATGTTTGGCTGACAAAAAGTGGGATGCGTTACTTGAATCTAGTGTTTTGTCAAATAACAGGTTTGAGATCAAATAACATAAAAAGTGTTGTTTGCCAAATACTTGAGGAGGGGCAGGTATTTGCCAAATAACAAATTTGAGACCAAATATCACATACCAAATAACATGTTTTATATTATGTGGTATTTGTGTGGTAATTGGTCCCAAATAACAAGTTAGATTGCACTATATATGCTCCCTGAACCCCCAAAGCCTAAAACAACGAACATCATTCAATCCAATCTACAAAATCAAACCAGGGTACTTTCAATGAAGACTTTGCCATCGTAGGTGTAGTGGTCAGAAAAAAGTTATAAAAAAAAATCCTTTATTGTATCATTGTTTGGTAGGTTTGATTTTCGTTTTTGATGTGATCAATCTTGTGACTCTAGTATATTTTCAAATTTTCTCAATAATACTAATATTTTCTAACAACAAATAAATAAATAAAATATCATTTTATTCCAGAAACACCTAATGTAAATGTTACATCCAAGCATCCACAATAATAGTGACAGAAAAGTCAAAGGGAGTAAACATTTAACCTGAAGAAGTAGAAAGGGAATCTGATATATCACCATACCTTATCCAACGAATCCGATGTTCATCGACATCAAACTGTTCTCTTTGTAAAAAAAAAAAAAAGACATCAAACTCTTCTTCTTCTTCTTCTTCTTCTTCTTCCAGCGATAACCTTTTTCTTCTTCCCTAATCTCTTGCTACCCACCTGGTCTCTGGATTCTGGTTTTCATCAGGTGAGCATCATGGTATTTATTGTTATCCAATGAATTCCTTGTTTTCTTCTTCTTCTTTTTTTGTCCTTTATAATTCCCCATCATCCTCTTTTCCCTGTCTCTTAAGTATTTGTAACTTTTAGTAGTCCTCTTCAAGTGCATCTATCATGATGTATATATCTGTCTTCTTATCTTTGTCCATTTTCAATTTTGACTATACCCACCAGATTTTTAATTTTTCAAAAAAAAAAAAAAATTAGGTGTCTCTTGTTTCCCATTCCTAAGTTTCAAGCACAAATGCAAAATTTTAGATATATCAATGTGTTGATATTATGAGGCGGAATATCATTACGTTGACCAGTTTTCTAGCTGACACAAAATAGATATCGTGGTTATTTTGATAATTATTAACAAATTTAAATTTATCACCTTAATTTGAATTACGATTGATTAAGATGAGACGGCATCTCATCATAATAATATAATATTTTATTGTGGTGACAAACATATAATGTACTAGGGGCCAAGGCCAATTATGTTATGCAAATTGTAAGATATTTTTAATTTATTAATACTCTATCCCAAGGCCCTGAAAACATATAATTAATAACCAATAATAATAATTATTGTTTCAATCTCCATTATGAGAGAGTAGGTACGTAGGTTTTAAGAATTGGCAAGTGGAGACTGATCAATTAGTGGTGGCATGGGCTTCGGCACATGATATTTAGTATTTTACATCTTTCCATTCTCCAAAAAGGGAACAAATCTAGTGGTTTAAGATTTTGTTGAGCATTGAATATTTGAGTAAGTGATCACATACTTGATTCTTACAACATGTAGCAAGATGGATGTTTCCTCCTCTAAACACTGTACGATCCGATCCCGTGGTTGAGCCCAAAATTGAATGAGTGGAGCTAAAAAATATACATTTGAGTGGTTTAAACAATGATCATTGATGAGGAATAGGGGTAGTGGCTTACCAACTAGTCTATTTTCAGAAATTATCACACATTTTCCATGTAAATTTAACCGGGATAATTTGGAATGAATTTAAGAGTACTTAATCAATTTTCGATCCTCTGTTAGCTCTTATTTGATGGATCTCTTGGTTTTGCATTAAGAACATTTTATTTTGGTATACATTCAGTTGGCTAGATATGAGTTTATACTTGACAATATCAAATTGAAATTGGACTAACCGACGGATGCTATGGGTAGGGCTATCCTGCAAGAGGTGGTAGTCATTTATTCGTGTATTGATTGATTTCGTGTGACTTTTTTTAGTTACATTTGTATCATGGTTGTCTATTTAGTGGCATGAATTTTTTTTTCCCAACAAGTACATCATATAATAAAAAAATATAAATTTTAAACTTCAATCAAGAATACTCACAAATTAGGAATTCCAACAAGAACCAATTGTACTTTAGAGGGGCTATATAAGGGCACTTCCAATTCACCAAGGGAACGGGAAATGATGATGGTCGGTAACATAAACATTTTGCATATATTTTGAGTCGAGGTGGCAATTAGAATTTATATTCCTGAATTCAATCCATTTATCAAATTATCCACCTAATACAATCCATTTAATCAAAATCTAATTGGCTTGGAAGATTCTTGGATTAATCTCGTGGTGGAGCCAGACCTAGAATTAAGTGTGTCCTTTTTCTCATAATAGAAATTATTTCGATTGGAGATTTTCACTTATAGTGTACTAAATCAAATTATGACAATTATATAACAATAAAAGAGCTTTAATACCGTGGCAAAATATATTTACGTCACTTTAAATCGGTGAGTTCAATGCTTTTCATGTGCATACATAGGGATTTATAATCGTTTAACGATGTTGTCAGAACCGAACCGGAGCATGACCCGGTAATGCGAACGGCTAGTACTTTAGCGGTCCAACCGGCATTAGACCGTTTAAAAACCGTTAGAGAACCGGTATCTAATAAACGTTATCAGTATAAATAGTGGACATTTCTTAATTAGAGCTCATCTCTTTCCTTCGAAATTGTGAAATGGAAATAAGGATTCAATTTGAGAGCCCGACGTTTTCGGTTTATTTCAATTTTCAATTTTCTACAATTTTTTTAATTAAATTTAGTGGCAGAATGGCAAAAACCGGACGAGCGGCTCGATCGGTTAACCACCTCGGCCGCTCGCCAACCGCTACATAAAACCGGAGCGGCTTTTAGACTGTTCCGAGCCGGTATTGTGACCGGGTGGCGGTTTTATCGGTCGGGCCGAGCTGCTCGGCTCGGCTTTAATAACACTACTTTTACCAAAACTTACTCGTGTCTCATGACAGAGCCAAACCTCTATGGATTGATCCATGGATCCAAATGATAAATTATGATTTAGTACCTATACTTTTTATATTTAACATTTTGGTACCTAAAATTTATTTTTTATACAAATCATTGGAAATTTATGTTTTGGTACCTATAATTTTTCATTATGCTATTTCACTACCTAAACTTTTCTAAATGTACATAATGATCCAAGGATTGGATGTCATTTGAATTCATGGATCAATCCACCAATCCATTTCATCCAATCCATGAATCGGCCAATCCATTTGATCCATGGATCCATAGAGTAATGCAATGCTTAGGAATAATCTCTATATTCCATACCAGAGGGTGCCATTTTACCTCCTCTTTATCCTTGTCGAATCTCATACCCTCTTCACTGAATACTTTATGTATGTCGATTGACATACCATCTTATGCGATATCATTCCCTGAACCAGAAAAATGTTGTTGCACTATACTTCGACATTTTAAAAGCCTCTTCC